AAACCCGCTAATAGAATATCAGGCTCCCTTTACACCTTTGATAAAAGACCTACCCAAACTTTTAAAATATTCATAATTATATACTACAAATTGCTAATATAGATACACCGTTGAAGGCCTTGATTATAACCTTTAAGGCAGTAGACTCTTGATAAGCAGATCTGGAGTTATGGAAATCAGAGAACTCCAACCTAGAAGGCCTCAAGTGTGTGTATAATCTCCTCTACCACTGCCACATCGTGATGTTACTTCTTAAGGTTTTGATTAAGTTGACTTTCTAGTTTCAACTTAAATTGTAATACAACAGATTAATTGTTGCCTGATTTATTTACTTTTAAACAATTCAGTGTCCGCTGCTCTCACAATTATTGCAAAGAAATAAGATGAAAATTAAAATTGCATAGTTTCTTGAATCAATTTTTCATAGCAAGTTTATGAAATTCACCATCACTGAAACACCATCATTGGATTCTCAATAATTTTATTCTTATAAATGACAAATTTTGTCTAGAAAAATGAAATGCTCACAATTTGTTATTGTAAGTAAATTTCCAGATCACTGTCAACACTGAAAGAGCCTATGTTATTTTAAATCAAGGAGAAAAAGGAGGGGAAAAAAATTAAATGAAAAGCATATGTTGGTACTCATCTTTTTCTAATTTCTAAGATTTATTAAAATTTGAGAATTACTCAAAAATTATTTCCTAATAGAATAAAGTAAAAAATTTAGACTTGGCAGACAGTAATATTCATTTTGATTTGGGTTGAAAAATCTCAGTGACCTCTTTCCTTCCCTCTGGAGTGTTTTGATTTTTAGCAACAGTTTCTCTTTTCCCCAGCATTACAAAAATTATATACTCATGACCGAAATGAATCACTTACAGATCATGCAGCTATCAGCCTTTTATGCCTATGGAATATATACAACAGCAAGAAACTAATTTTAAATGTTTACTGTGTGGAAGGAAGGAGCCCTGGTGGTGCAGTGGTTAAGCACTTGGTTAAGTTTGAACCCTCCAGCATCTCTGCGGGAGAAAGATGTGGCAGTCTGCTTCCGTAAAGATTGCAACCTTGGAAACCCTGTGGGCAGTTCTACTCTGTCCTATAGGTCGCTACGAATTGAAATCAGCTCCACAGCAATTGATTTTTTTTGGTGGTGTTATGTGGAGGGAGGTGTAAAGATAAGAGGATGAAGGGTGGATGGGGCTGGTTCATGGAGAAAAATAAAGATATGAATATACTATCATGGAGAGGTCTCGCCATCTTCAGAGGAATGGGAAAATAAGTATTCGGTGAGGGTCAGCCCAAACTTAGGTAATTCAGACTTTCAGACACTATAACACAGATCCTTCATGTTATGCTAAGAGACACGGGACATACAGAAAGTAAACGATATTCCCAATTAGTCTAAAACTCAGCCATCATCCACCTGTGCCTCTTTCCTGGCACCAAACCTAAAATCTTTGAAACCCTTGCTTTAGGGAATTAAGTTAGTTATGATCAGACAAAGGTCCCTGGGTGGCGCAAACAATTTGCACTCAACTACTA